ATGTCCATCAGTGGGAAGTCAGTGCCAGTGAATGCATGGAAGAGCTTCAGATGCCCAACCACCACAGCTACCAACAGAAAGAGCACCGAGCTGCTGTGTTTTGGGTCCTACACAGTGCTGCAAAACTCAGTGTGTGTTTTCTTGCAGGTAGCTCAGATTGTCAAGCACGAGATGGAAAATGCTGTCAAACTCTCAGTAAAACTGAATGTTAAAGTGAAAATTGGACCAAGCTGGGGAGACCTGCAGGACCTGGAGCTGTAGATGTGAAACATGGCTTTCTCGTTTTTGGACGACACCATGAGCTGCTCGGGGCAATGCCCAGCACACCAGCAGGCAGCAGCAGGTGTCCTGCCTGTGTTTCTGTGGTCATCACTGTGAACCATCTTCTGAACAGGGATGTGGAAGCTGCTATGAATTTACCATGCTGAGCCTTCCAAAGGTCAGATGGTGCTGAGACATGTTTATGGAACTGTGGAAACTATTAATTACTAAAAGCACAGTATTTAAGTTAATTGTTCTTGTAATTTAAAACAAAGCCTAATGAATTTACTACATATGAAATGAACTAGATTATTTAATTAAAACAAAGATCACATGGAAGTTTTTATGTGTAATTGTGTACAGGACAAACAAATAAAATATCACCGTGTTTGTACGTTACTGTTGAATTCCACAGCCATCCACTAGGAGCATTCTGCAGTGGTTTCTGCAGCTGATGTTGAAGTGCAGAGGTGGCTTTCAGCTGGCTGCGTTTCTCATGGAGCAGCTGTGCAGTGCTCACACTGAATGCAACTGGGGGACAGTGTTAGAACTCTTGTAACTAACAAAATCTCCAGCCAAAGCCTTCATTTTAAATAATGAGAAAAAAAAATATGAAAAACATCTTGGTGTGGTGAGCTCAGGTGCTCACCTTGCTGGTGTTTGAGATTGGTTGTGTTAGCAGAGTTTCCCTGAGCGGTGGGTGTGAGCTGTGTCTCTTGGTGCAGACTGGTCTTGTGGGGAAGCCTCACATCGGTGGCCTGCTGAAAGCTGCTTGGCTCTCATCCTATGCTCAGCTTCTGTGTCTTTGACACAGGCAGGAAGGTTTGCTTGTGCAGGAGGAGGCTGCACACAGGAGCCACCTGAGGCTCCTCAGACTGAAGGAGGAGCTGGCAGGGAAGTGATCTGCCCATGTGTGGTGGCACTGCTCACTAACACCTTCTGCTTTGGCTAAGCTTCACATCACATGGTTTCATTTCCCTTCCAGATTGTTGCATGGACCGTGCAAGTTCAACTATTTTTGTTAATTTTAAACAATGCCTGACCTTGGATTCATGATTTTCATTGTGTGGCCGTCGTATATTAAAAGAAAGGGAGGATGGGTGCCTCCTGCCATCTTCTTTGTTGTAATTGCTTTATCACGTCTTCTCATCTGCAGCTACTCCTTGGTGCAAACAACCTCTATCTTCCCATACCTGCCTCCTCTGAGATATTTTCCACTCCTAGTTGTTCTCCTTTCACTTCTGAACTTTGCCAGATCCTTTGTCAGAAGTGTCCTTTTGAGGTTTCCTTTATAACTGGACTGGCGATCCTGTGCAGTTGGCTTTGAGCAGCCTGAGAGCATGTTGGAGCTGTGAACTTCAGATGTGGTGGTTTTGGAGTGGCTGTTATCCTGACGTCAGAAAGAAGCATTGGGCACCAAGTTTTCATGGGAATGGTGAGTTTCAAAAGGTGTTAATGGGGCCCATGCACAAAAGGCCACATCCTGGGCTTTAATCACACAATCACAGAATCACAGGGGTTGGAAGAGACCTCAACATATCAAAGTCCAACTCCCCTGCTAAAGCACGTAAGTCACATAGGTAAATATCCAGATGGGTCTTGAATATCTCCATGGAAGGAGGCTGCACAACCTCTCTGGGCAGCCTATGCCAGTGCTCTGTCACCCTTACTGCAAAGGATGCACGCAGCAGAACAGATGCATGGTATGGAGGCAGGCACTAAGCAGCGATGCTCCATTGCCCTTCCCAGCACGGAGCTGACCCACCTGCCTGTTTTGATTTATGTTTTTCTTCTCTTTGCATTGAGATTTTTTTTTGTTTCCTTTCTGCCCTCTCTGCATGGTGGTTTTCCACATCTGTCACCTGACAGCCGAGCTCTTTATCCATGGCATTCACTTGATAAGGCAGTCGCTTCCTTTCTATTCTGGGCGTATTAAAGCTTTGTTATTGCCAGACCTGAACAGCAGCCCCCTGGTGTCAGGCCATTTGTGTGCTCTGCCTTTATCGATGCTGGGTTGGATTCATTACCGATTCACACAGCTTGTGAATGAGTTCCTGTTCCTAGGTGTCATGCAGTGACGCACCTGTGCTGGATTTCAGGCCTTGCTGCAGCTTCTGTGATTTCAGCCACTCTCTGGCACATGGCAGCATTCCCTTCCTGCAGACTGACTGCCTTTAGGAGTGCAGAAGGTGGTTCTCAGCAAGGCCCCCAGATGGGGATGCTAATCAATGAAATGACTGACACCGAACTAAACTTATTTTGATAAACAAACTTGATGACTTCATTATAATTAAGCAGTAATTTGGAGCAAATGGGAAGATAAAAGTGGCCACTGCTCTATGAGGCAGCTGCTGTGTTTGAGTCATGATAGCAGAACTGGTTCTGAGTTGCTGCCTGATTGCTGCTATTTGCATCCCTTCATTCTGATTAGGCTTTAACTACCAATGAGTCTCATTGATTCCCCCAAGAACGGGAAGCAAAACAGGACTTAAGTAAGTTGAGGCACTGCTGGGAATGCTGCTGAAAATGAAACTCGTTAATTTCTGAAGCTGGTAGGTGAGCCAGGAAGAGGTTGGCTGTGTGCATTATTCACATATTTTTGCCTGTGTCTCCCTCCCTACGCCCCTGCAGTGGGCTGAGGCCCAGTTGGAAATAGCTTTTCTCTGGCTCAGGAGTGTGTACTCAGAGCACAGGTCCCTCTTTTTCTTCCTGTAGCCAGGATGCAATGCCTCTGTGTGCTTGCTCTCTGTTCCTCTGGCTGTTGGAGTCTCTTTCCAGCCTGCCTGCTTTTGTCAGTCAGCACCGCAGTGTGCTCAGCACTACTCATGGTCTGGCAGCCCAGGAGGAAGATGCAGGGACCCAGAGGTAGGGTAGGAGTCATGTTTCTTTTGGCATTTTGTCACTCGGAGTTGCTCCTGCCTCCTCCTGCCTTGTGCCATTCTGCAAGGCTGATGCAGCAGCAGGTGGGTGTCTGGCTGCCAACAGGGACAGGATCCAGTGCCAACAAACAGCTGCAGTCACCGAGGCTGCACTTTCTTCACTCAGTGTGACCCAAACTCTCACATGTACAGCCCATTCCCACGACTTGTTGAGCAGTCTTGTTCTACTTGGTTCACATCCAATCCTATCAAAATGGCTCACATTTCATCCTAACGCTGAACCCCTTTCAGTACGGGGCAAAGCTTTCCAGACTCAGTACAGGAACCACTCCCATCAGTAGCTGATATGGCACCCCCGGCACTTTCCTCATATGCATACAGCAACCTTGTTTAGTCCTGCTTGTTTTGACAAAGCTCTCCTTGGTAGCACTGCCTACTAAAAGAGCGCTGCACATTCCTGTACAGGGCAGCAGAAAAAGACAGACAGACAGATGACGAAAGCTGGCATATGCTCTGAACTGGTTCAGTCCTTTGGCTTTTCTCCCCTTCTTCTCTCATTTTATTGAGACTTGCACGGTTTTTCTTACCATTTTGTCCTCTAAATCTGTAGCTGGAATATGGAAGGTGGACTAGAATGAAAGTGTGGTGTTCCTGGCAGAGCAAGTGAATCATATTGCTGGCAATTAAACAAGCATGCTTCTGCACTGCTGAGAGGTCAGCCTGTACAGGACTGTTCTTGCCCCGTGGTGGAAGTGACATGAAGGACATTCAGCGGAGAAGTCCATAAGTGGGTTTAATACTCCCAGGGATGGGTGTTATAGCAACTTGTAAAGCACAGGAGCATTGCCTGGGTTCAGGCTGTGACTCCATTTTTGCTGTCAGAGGAAGGGATTTGAGCATCCCAGTCTCAGCAGCAGGTGCCACAGGATTTTCTGTGTTCCTAAGTGAGCAGTGTAAACTCCATCCAAATGTTCTGCATGAGCCCCTTGCCTTTTGAACTGCTGCAAATAACATAGGAGTACACACTGAAAAAAAAAGATCTACACCAACTAGTTTTTAGCAATTCTTTCTTTTATTTTCTTTCCCTCTTTTTTCCTCCTAAATTGGGAACTCAAAACAGCTTCAGTTAAAGCTGCTGTAGGTTTCCTATTGTGGAGCTGCCCTGGGATACCCATGGGAACAGGATGGGCTCAGCTCAGCGCGTGTGGCTCACCCCAGCACTGCCCTCCTTCTGCGATGGAAGCAATGACTGTTAAAGCCACACAGACTGTCCACCGAAATGACACCAAATCTGAGCACTGGTTGCTATCTAAGAAAGTACAACGTTTGAGCTGCTGATTTAATCACAGAACAGAACACATGAATGGAAACACAGATTTACGTGCCTATCGCTCACACCGAGATGAAGCGCAGACTCCAAAATGGCCACATGTGGCTCCTTAATGAGAGAGAGTGTGTTCACACCGAGCCCACGCCAAGGCAAAAAACCATTCCACATTGAAATAGTCTGTGCTTGAATTCACCTTTAGGTTATGGAAAACAATACGCCAGGATACCAAGGGGTGTAACTAAACGAACTCGGGCTTTTTGCTTCTGTTACAATGCACCCAGTTCATAAATGGAGGGGCCCTGAGGTGTAACACAGCTTTGAGCTAAGCTGCAGCATTTTCTTCACTTCTTTTTCAACTGTATTTTGAAAAAAACTTATTTTTGTACATGTAACTTCATTATAATACATCCTACTGTAAAATGGCTTTTGTAAAAGGGCTTTGTAAACTGTTTTAGAGGATTTCTATACGTGGTAATTTTATACAACATGTGCAGCAAATAGAGAATTTAAACATTCTTGTAGGAAGCTACAGTGGTAATACAGGGGATGTTTAATGGATGCAAACAGAGGAATGAAGAACTGTGGGGAAAAAAAAAAAAACAAAACCATTTAGAAAACAGTAATTATACAAAGCAAAACCCAACTCTCACTTCTTCCTTCAGCTCGTCCTCACTCAGCATTTGAAGCTTAAATTAGCACTCCACTGAATGGACTATTTTTTTTTTAACAAATAGCCTGTGTTTCACCAGAGACTTGCCTACTCTGATACAAATAATCTGATTTTATGTATTTTCTCTGCATATTCAGTCCATACGCATCCCTATGAATACAGGTGAACACAACTGGCCAAACCCAGACATACAGGTGCTGCTGTTGGGTGCATCGGGGCTGGGGATGTGGTTGTGAGAGGGCACTCCTGTAAAGAAGACTGGGAGTGAGAAGGGCATTCAGGTGAACAGAAGCATTGTACATGGAACAAATACTTCCAGGCATTCGGGTCTGCTGTAATTGAGGATTACACTGCTGGAGATGCCTCGGGCTGTAGGTGGTGCTCTTAGTGGAACGCTGAAAGCGTGTGACTTCAACGCACAGGGACAGCATAAATAACCAGGCAAGAGCTCTTCCTCCCTCATTGACGTTTTTAAGTGAAGTTTTTTTCACATACATGATAAATCTCAATAGAAAGCATTTAACAGTGTGCACTACCAAACTTATACAACATATACATTACATATATATATTTTATATATAGAATGTTCTATATACAAACATATACAACTTTTTAGATCTCTACAGCCTACAAGAAAATTGATAATTATAGTCACGAGTGGCAAACGTAACAGAAATAGGGATCTGTAACTGTCTGGAAATACTGAAAATACGTAGAGTGGAAAGCGAGATACAGCTGTGACCCAAGGGGGAGTACTGGAGAAAAGCTGCTTGGAACTTGTTATTAAAAACTGTAAGTTTACGGGATGCTGAATTCTAATTCTTCTGTTGCATCAGATGGAAATCTAAGGGCAGGTTTTTCCCTCCTCCCAGCCACAGAGAGTGGCTGGCTGCCCCAGTGAGTCTAACACTGCACACATGACCTTTTTTCCCTCTGGGCATACTGTGGTGATTAGCAGTTAAAGGTCATTATTCAATTTTCACACTAGGTTCCCCAACAAGCGAGCAGGGTCCTGCTCCAGCCTGCAGGGACTGCTGACATCAAAGCTGAGGGGAGCTTTGCACTGTGAGCACCCACACGAGGTGCAGCGTACAGGAAGCTCATGCAGCACTGCTCGCTGCCGTGCCATGTCAGTGTGCCACAGTGTGCCTGCATTCACCTGGCTCATTTCCTAAGGCCCAATTACACCAATTAATAGTGGAAACTATCTAGTAAATAAATATTTAATAAATTCCACTACTAAGTACAGTGGAAAACATGGTGCCACGCTTGAACTGGCAGAGGCCTTTTCATTTGCACCACCTTAGGGCATAAGTAAGTGTAGGAATGGGTACAGAACCCTCTCTGATTGGTATGCTGATACTGATGCAGACTCCTCAACTTCTCCATAAGAGCAGAGAAAATTAAGAATTAAGTCTATAAGGTTGGCTGGAGTGTCTGAACAATTTGCACAAAAAGGCTTTGTTGCCCAGAGACGCACTAGTGGTACAGGCTAGTGCACAAGCAGAGTGAATGTGCATTGAAACAGAAGAGAGAATGACTGTGGTAGTGTAGCTGTTTCTCACTCCAGCTGCCTGGTTACAGTGATACTTCTCATAGGGGAGCAGGCAGCTCTGTGATGGGGACACTGCAAGGATCTCCCCAGCCCAGTTTATACTGGCATCAGAGCAGGGAGTTTGCTCTTTCCTCAGTCACTTAATGCACAGACTTCCTCTGGGTCATGCACAATTTCAGTTCCTTAACTCTCGTTGAACCACAGGCATCACTTGGCCTTTGACCCTTTTCCAACCAAGATTCTACTGTTCTCACAATTACAGTTCTGTGACAGAGAAGAAGCTGTCCAGCCTCCTTCCCAAAGCAGCCAGACCAGTCAGGCTTCTTCTTTTGATTTTGCCCCCAGAGAAACATGAAAGTGCTGTAAAGCATACAACTCTTGTGCTCCAGGATGAATTTAAGACTTCACATGTCAGATCTGTTCCATCCCTTCAGCTTGTGCAGCTGGGATGATAGCAAAGCCAGATTTCTAGCCTGTACTATTTTGTTTTATTTTAAGAAAGCAAAATATAGAGGAAAGGCATCTATGAGACAGATAGTCTGAGCATGGGTATGATAGAAATCTAGTGAAGTTAAGCTCTAGCTATGACGGCAATGCTGTCTGTTTGCATCAGTGTCAGCCAGGACTCCCTGAAGGAACATCTTCCATTTCTCTTATATAGAAAACTTTAAAATTTTCCACCTGCTGCTCTTCTACCTTTTCCTATCTTTCCTTTTCTAATTTGGAGCTCTGTCCAGGTACATGAAAAGAAGTCTTCAGAGCCCTGGTTCCAATGCAATCTTGGAACAATTTCTAAGTGAACAGTTCATCTGTGTGGCACTGTACTGTATCTATAAACTCAAAACCCATCTGTATAAATAAGTGATGGGTTCTACTTACTGTTCTCTTCTGTCTCTGCAGACTGGAAAGTATTGCAGAGTCCACTGCAGAAACCAAACAACCCACTCAGAAGGAGAAGCAAATTACTTTGTGGTGTGAGCAGAGGATCAACTGCCACACAGCTGTGGTGTCACTTTCTGTATGTGCCAATTCAGTGACATATCATAACAATTGTTTTTCATGCTCTTCCTGCGGCCCACCTCGAGGACTTGCTGCTGGGAGCTCTCTCCACGAGCTTTATGGGGTTACTGTGCAGTTTCCTCAACATAACTTCAACCAACCACTTAAGAAAAAACTCATTGTTTGGCAAGCTGTTGAGCAGCTTGCGAGTGAAAACTGATGGGACTCTCTCATTGGTTTCCCTTTTTGCCCTCTCTAACTTCAAGAGGAGATTCTTTTAAGTTTGTTTTCTATTCCTGCAACAGAAAAGTAAGGCAACCAAGTGACAGAGAAACCACAGGGATGACAAATGCCACAGAGCCTTCAAGGACTACCAAGATAAATCTAGGGCTCGTTTTTAAAAGTACAGATAAGGGCAACACGTCATGTACTCTGAATTGCAAAATTCATCTGCTCTCATGTTTTAATGACATTTCAGATAGTGCCTGTTTAGCTACTTGAAAAATCTGTAAAATTTGGACATAGGCTTTTGAAATTATTTATTCTTCCGGAAGGAGTTAAACAGCACTGATTTCAAGCAAGGTTTTTCAAGGGAAATGAGTAGCAGATAAGAAAACGCAGCTCAACTCATTTTTATGTTGAGAACAGTAGCAAACATGCTTGAAATGTACTGGCTTTTTGTAGTCTCATTTTTAAAAAATACAGATTTTTGCCATTTAAGTTTTTTTTTTTTTTTGCTCAATATAAATTAATCCCATTTTTCTTCGGTCACAACATGCTTTTTTTTTTTTTCTTTTCCTTTTTTTTTTTTCTTTTCCTTTTTTTTTTTTTTTTTTTTTTTAAGATGTCAATTAACCATGCAAAGTTTTCTAAGTGCATTAACATTCGAGTTTTTACAGAGTATTTTTAATCAGACACGGCTCCCCACAGTTCATACCTACAGCTTCTGAAAAGCTACATGCCACAGTGATGGTTGAGTTCCTTTTGGGAAAGACTGGCTACTGCATAAACCAGTTGCTGCCATAAAGCCCCCATGACTCTAGTTTCCAACTCATGTTCTGGAAAATTTCTTTGACGCCCACTGCGATGATTCCAACACAGTAAGAGGAAAACATCTTCTAGGAGAAAAAATTGTTTCTGGCTGATGACTGATAGATTTGGGAATGAACGTTGCTTCCCTCAGCAGTGTTCTGAACAAAGCCACAAGCAGATTCTTTAGAAGTTTAAAACTGGTACCATTTTTTGTCCTTGTATTTCAGCATCACCTACAGAAATGGGGGAAAAAAGAAAAGGGCTTGTGAAGTCACAAACTTCAGAAGTAATGAAGTACCTCACTGCCATTTCTTCTTGCCCACACTGTCGCCATGTCTTGATTTCACTGAAATATTGTTTTTATTTATTTATTTAATTTTGTAATTACCAGGTGCTTTTTAAAAAGCAATGACATACCTGTTACTTCTGTTCATTACAAGATTCCTCCTGAGGAGATTTAACTATTTTACAACTTCAGTTTTTGCAGAAGTTCATACATTTATAGCATGGTAGAGTTGCCCTGAATAAATTCTTTTCGCATTTCAGACAAGTTTCTTCTGAGTATTTTTGCCTCGCACGCATGAAAGCTAGTAAGAATATAAAGGTCTTGCCCAGAGATTTAATGCACATTCAACCAGCTGTACAATTAACTGAAAAACATGCATCTTGGGGGAGTATTCTTTAACCTTGTTTTAACATAAATTAAAAAAAAAAATAAATCATTAATTGATTCCCAGCCTAGGGCTGGAAGAGCTTTCTGACTCTATTATTTCTGACTCTAAGCACAGAAGCTGTCTATCCCAGCCAGCCCTATTCTTTACAACTGTATCGCAGCACTGTACCAGAGAGTTCCTCCTCATTTCCTAGTAAGATCTGTAAATGCCACTATGTACACAGCCACCTACCTGTATTCTGCCCTACTGCATAGATCTGCTGGACCAAGTGGCTTAAAAAAAACAAAGACCAGTCAGAATGGATTAGTGAAAAAAGTGCGAGATGAGAAGTACCCTGTTCTAAATTATGGAAACGTGAAAGAGTTGTGCAGTGGAAGTCTCTTTGGAGATTTTCCACTGTGTGGAGGCAGGGGAAGGAAAAATGGCATGCAAGTTAATGTGAGCACACCTCAAACAACATAACTGTGTGAATGAGGAGAACAGCACTTGACTTTCCAGAAGGGAAGCAAAGGTTTGGTGATCTTTAGTTCTGAGTGCTCTTACCTCATGTGCATGTTTGGAAAATGCCTCTGCACTGGCCATCATGCTGGCGGTCCTTTCATCCAGCTCTCCCAGTTTCTGTCCTCTCTCATCAAGAGCAATACGAGCGCGAGTCAAGTCCCCAATGACTCCTCCTGCAGCTCCTCTCACACCTTCAATTCCACCTGATCCAGGGATGTGCTGGGCGAGACTGCGAGAGGCTTTTCCTGCCGTGGCCTCACCAACTGCAAAGGAGAAATACAAACAGAGGGTGGTGAGAGGCTGAGGTCCTCGATGCCACCTTACTGCAATGGCACATGTGCTGGATTTTGCTCTCTGTTCTTTCACATCTGCAATGCAGCCATACCCCCAGCCCTTCTATTGGTCAAAGGAAGCTGCTGCCATGAAGGAATCACAGATAGCATGAAGAAAGGGCAGACTTCTCAGTTGCCCTATCTGTGACCTGTCTTTTTTTTTTTTTTTCTTCTTTTTTTGTCATTAAAATAAATCTTCTGTGTGTCCTAGATGACAAGGGCAGGCAATCACATGTATTAGTTCACGGAAGAAAAAGAAAAACCACTTACAAAGCTCCTCTCTGTCGAAAGCTTGTCCACTTCCTCCAAAAAGCCCTTTAAGAAAGCCTCTGTTTTGGGCTTCTGGTGTTTCCACAGGAGTAAACAAATCCCCAAGCATGTCCTAGCAAAGTCAGACAAAAATCACATGAAAAATTACTGAGATGAAAGCAGGTCCGGGGGGGGTTGTTTCATTTGCTTGAGCTTAAGGAGCCAAACGCATTGGATCTAGTCGAGTCATTTTAAAAGCGTGTCGTATGAAGAACAAAAATCAGTACTTAACAGTTGTGTTTTACTACTACTAGGTGAATACTGGGACTGAATTTTACTACTAGGTGAATACTGGGACTCACTAGATTCTCTAATGCTTTAAAAGGACTTAGTTTTCCCTGCCCAGTCTTGTGTTCATAGAGAAAACATTTTAAGCAATATAAATCACGGAAATATCAGTGATGACATTACATTTTGCTTAGAAACAACAGTGGTGACACTATAATTGAATAAACAATTTGTCATGAATTATGCATTTTGCTTTAGTAATTTTCAGGCTAGCAGGATGGTCACTCTGTTCTCCGTTTATAACACACCTGAGTTCAGTCCTTATTAGAAGTTCAGAGTTGCTCTTTTTAAATAAAAACCCACTGCCCTCCACAATCCATCCTTCTCCAAGTTCATTCTTACAGTGCATTTTGGCAGCACCATCAGGCAGTGTTTGAAGGCACTGCTGTGGAGACTGAAATTTTCACCAGAGCAGGTGAACTGAATTAGGGCCAAACAAATCAAATGTCAGGTTCAGCTTTATTTGCAGCAGTAAGAGAAAAAGTTGAATCTCCAGAATTAAACTGATACAGAAAGCATGCAGTCCCATTAGTATTTAAAACCAGTGAGTCTGTGCAACAAGAACAGTTGCTGCCCTGCTGCTCAGCTCTGTGTTTGCTCATCTGAACCTCAGCAGGCACATCTAGCTGTAGTGCTGCTCAAAGCACTCGGCTCCTGAGAAGCTGAGTGCCAATGACAAAGCTGTGACTCACACTTACTGCTCCCCTGCACTGTCACCTGATCCAGGGAGAAAAATTACTGCAGCTTTTGAGCTTGAGTGGAATCTCTCATGCAGCTTGCCTTGTCTTCCTGGGTAGCAGGTGATACCTGGTCATCTGCTTTTTATACTGGGATAATGGCTGTGCAAGCCCTTTATGTCCTCTTCTGGATAAAAGCCAAGGTAGAAGCAGCCATAGTTCAGCAGCACAGAGAAGCATGGGCTGTTTCCATTTTGTTGTTGCACGATGCTGTTAAGGCTCCTAACAATTTAGCTTATAACAGCCTCTTGCTTATAAATCCACTTTCCCAGATGCAGCGAGCAAACTTTCCGATAATTTTGAAATTAGTTCCCTGCAAAATGATCTATTTTCCAATGTGCAAGAGCTCATATGCAATGCTCACTGCTCCCAGCACTCCTTCAGACCTGAGACACGTGCTGCTGGGATGTGATTCAAGCAGCTCAGCATGCATTATTCTCTAGGGGACAATAAGTGCTGGCAAGACTATTTCTTCTGTATTTCTACCCTAGCTCAATGCTAATTACATAACTTAGAACTTGTTCACCTTCTTATTTTTTATTCCTCATGTTTCTCCTTGTAACCTCTCACAATTCCTCCTCTTCAGTAAATGACATTTTAATTTGCATTTTCATTAGAAAAAGGCAAACCCAACACTGTAAAGAGCTTTGCTCTAAATAAATTTTTTTAATTAGATCATTTCTGTAGCTACTGCATTTTAATGTACAGTGGGAGATGCTGGAGTGAAAATGATGGAAAATAATTAAAAATACGTTAAAACAGAGTGCATTTTTTTGATACTATCAGCACCTGTTTGTCTCATGTCACCCATCTACTGGAAGTTTTAAGTATTAAGATGTTTTTAGAGTTAAAATCTGAAAAATGAATGATGGCAGGAATGCATATTTTCATGGAGGCAGTTTCTATGCGTTGGACACATGCTGGTACCTACTGCTATGGCTGCTCTGAATGTATAACTTCCCCTTCTTTCCCTTCAGTCACTTTTAACGGTTGGTTTCTCATATGGGCAGGCTTTGATAGAAGCAGGCTGTGAAGAGCCCCGCTTGGGTGTAAATTTGGCTCCATACAGAGACAGCAGAGACTATAATTAGGTGAGGGCAAGCTGCAGACATGGGCCAGTCATCAGGGCACAGGAACACGGTGACAGCAGCACAAAAAAGACCAAACAGCAACAGAGCAGATGACCTTTCTCTGCTCTGTCAGAATGGCAAATATGAAGGAAAATGTCCTTGAGGTCACTTAAAATGCTAAAAATTAACTAAAATACTCACTCTTTTTTTCCACCGACATGCAGGCTTACATTGAACAACAAATTATCATCTCTTACTTTTGACTAGAAATCATAGCCTGGTAAAATGCTACTTTGAGAAATCTATCAGCAAAGGTGGCAATTCACACTTGCACAGTTTGCTGCTCAGGCCTCCAGCCCTCCCACACAAAGACAGCGTGAAGTAAGGATGCGATTCCTACCTGCAGGTTGTCACACATCTCCTGGCTGTACGTGAGGCGCTGGATCTCAGTGGGAGAGCTGAGGTACAAAGCCTGCCCTTCGTTACTGAAACAAAAGGTCCGCGCTATCCTCATATCCGTTACAGGCAGATAATTGATGTCCAGCAGTGGGCGAAGGCTGGGCAAGCTGAAGTGAAGCAGAGACTTGAGTTAGTCACAGCTCTAAGGTGAAAAAAATCTGCCATCCACATGGTGCCTTCCTTTCCACTTTGCTTCTCTGCAGGGAGGAGTTTTAGCTGCCCTGCCTCAACATGCAGCTCCTGCCATGAGGGACATACCTGCAACACATGGCTTGTGCCACGTGGCTGGGCAATGTGCAGGTTGAGTCCTGCCTCTAGTCACTGCCGGGCACGTGGCAGCGTCCTGCTCGCACACTGTGAGCAAAGGCTCCAGCAACATCTCTGCTGTCCTCCAGCTTCAGCTCACTGGCTGTACAGCAGGATGGCACTTGCCCAGATTTAAATGGCCTGACCAGGGAAGGGGTGATGTGGGGATGCGGGGGCATAACTGCAGTGATGCTGCGCAGTCAGCTTAATGGGGCAACGGCAAGGAAGAGAAACTTAGTGCACCGAGTGCAAAAAATCTGAAATGGGACTGGACCCTTCACACTGGATAAAAAGTACCATTTCTATGCCCGAGTTATTCTTAATGCTCTACACCCGATTGACAGTAAGGGAGAAAAAATTACAAGCTTTATGCCAGTTATAAGTCATCAACCATCAGCTGTCATCATGGGGGAGCTGCTATGAAATGGAAGAGCTTGTTTTGCTGTTCCACTGCCTTAATTCCCCACACGGAGGCAAGCCAAGGAACAGGTATGGCTGCGGGCAAGGCAATGCTCCCAGAAGAGCAATTACTTGTATATAAAACGTGCACTAAATGCATCTATCAGGGAGCTAACGCAGAGCATCAACCACGTAGGCACACCGCAGCAAATGCAAGTGGAACGCGATGGCACTGTGCCACCTCTTTGCTTAGTTTTGCCATGAGATTAGTTAGATAAGTACCTCAGTGTCATGATGTGCCCATTGGCACAAAAGCACGCCAGACAGACGCTGTTACAGAGGGTGACCACATCTGCTTGCAATAAAAAGGACGTTTCGGTGATGTTGTGGACATAAAGACATGTTTGGGAAGGCAATGAGAAGACTTTGGCTTGTTTTTCTGAACAAATGACTGCAAATTGATGATCACCCATATCCTGGGAGGAGGAAGGGGAATGCATGACGAGTTTTCTTTTCCTTGTTTTTTCACCATCATCAGCACTGTGTGGGTCCCTCCATACTTCATAAGGTGGATGTATCAATGTCCCCGTGCAGTCCAAGCAGGCGAAGGTCAGCACGGCTCCTTTCAGTGTCAGAACTGTGCCTGCAAAATACAATCTTTTCTCATTGGCACTGGCACCACAATTGAACTGCTTGTCAGCACAGTGGATCCACAGCACAGGTGACACCCGACTTCTCCTTTTGTAAATACAGAAAATGCATTTATCTAGCCAGGGTGACAGGTCTTCCTTACTCAGTTCTTCCCGACCACACAGGAAAGTGAACACATAGGCTGTCACTACTGAAAGGTCTCAGGCAGCCCATGTCAAATAACCTACATAGCACATACAACTGAATGCCATAAGGATAGACTGCTTTTCCCCCCCCTCCTCCCCCCCTGCTTTTTTGTTTTCTTTTAAATTTATCACTATGAGTAGGATTATTTATTCCCCAACCAGTAAAATTGCTACCCTTACTCTGGTGTCCATCCAGTGTTGTTTTTCTAAACAAAAAAGAGTGGGGGGGCTTATCACTACTCCTGCAGCACCCTGTTTTCTGGCATTATTTTACTCACAACACAGTAAGCACATCCTGTCTCTTAGCCCTGACCTCTCTCAGCCCTCTGTCCTCTCTGCTCTGCCATCTGTCACTCACTCAGCCAAAGATCTCTCCTGGTACACCAACCTGCCAACATTTGTGTTTCCTTTCCTGAGCTCCCTTCTGCTTCTCTGCAGCCTTCTGACAGGAAAGACAGCCAAACTGTTCACAGAATCCCAGATAGGATAGCATCAGAGCAGCACACAGGACTGCAGTTTCCCAATATGAAGGATCCCTGCCAGTTTCCCTGTTCTCACAAGAAATAAATGTGACTTTGCTCAAGGTGTAGGGCGACCTTCAAGATTAACGCAGTTAAAGTGCCTCAGTTCGTGAAGCTGTGGGTTTCTCACATACATCTCTTTTTACCTGTGTACCCTTAATCATAGAATCATAGAATGGTTTGGGAAGGGACCTTTAAGATCATCTAGTTTCAACCCCCTGCCATAGGTAGGGACATCATACTAGACCAGGTTGCTCAAAGCCCTGGCCAGTCTGTCCCTGAATGCTTCCAGGGAGGGGCATCCACAACCTCACTGGGCAACCTGTTCCAGTCTCACCACCCTCACGGTAAAGAATTTCTTTCTAATATCTACGTAGTGAATGACTGCTACTTAATACATTTCCTGAGAATTTTCTGGCAAAAAGGCCGCATAAAATCACACAGTTTTTCCCCCATTGTCCAAGATGGATAATAAACACAAAAAAGGCTGCACTCTTACCACTCGGTGACACCATGACTGGCTCTGACTGCCGTAAGTCGTCACTGGCAGGCAGGTTAAGAGAGAGGATTAAGACCATACCAAGGCCCGTTCCAACCCAGAGGCATGGGGAGACAGCAGAGTCATTCTTTCGGGCAAAGGACTCCATGAAGTACAAGGCTGTGATTGCCTCCTTGGAGTCCCTGTCAATACTTGACACGCTGGAGCTTCGGGAACGGCTGAAGGAGTTTTCTCGGTTTTCTGCATAAATAAATACAATTGGACAGGCATAAGCTGGTAACGTGAGAGCAGGTAGAGGCCTGCAGCAAATACAGCAAATGCAAACGCCCTGCAGGGCACTCAAAACACAGCATTTTCACAAACTAGGAGAACACTGTGATACTACCACCATACCAGCTTCCTTCCTTCCATAAGCATGGAAAATGCTGTCAGACCTCATCAGTTAGATCTGCATTAGAAATAGCTGCTTATTATGAAGATTAGCATAGACTAATTAGAGTTTACAACAGCCTTAGCTCAAAGGACTTGTTCTAAATAGCATGAAATAATTTTAGACACATCTGCTACCAATGCTTTAATATTAATCCATGTATCTCATTGCTGTAGGACACAAAGGAAGAAGCCACTTCCAACTTCAGCACATGTTCTCTGCTCTGCTCCTTCTCCCACAACTAGGAAGCAAGAGCACTAAGTTCACAGCTGCTGTATATTGTCAAGCTCTCTGGGGAAAAGACACACATCACTAAACTATCCCAGCAGCCAAGATGTCTCAGGGCACACCTCAGCTCAGGCTTCCCAGGCACTGAGATAGGAAAACTGCTCTGTGCCCTCAATGACAACTGCACGGTGAACCAATGGTTCATCTTTCTGCCTAAACTTTAGCAGACAACAAATGAGAGCAAGGTGGAGACAGAGCCACACTGATGGAGACCCTGAGCTCCTAAGGAGGAAGTGACAGAGAACACGGTCTGACTGCTGTAGGGCTGAGGGATCCTTGCTTTGCTTTGCCTTGCACCAAGAAGGAAGGCCAAAACTGTGCAAGGGATCTGCTGGCAGTAGCCATGTGTTATCAGTGGCAACATGTTGGCTAAAATGGCTAAAAGGTTCCTGGAGACTAAAGGAGCCAGAGGGAAGAAGAGAGCAGCACTGCCCACCAGCATAGTCTTTGCAAAGCAATTTGTGTCAGAGCTGCTGTCTGCCAACACGTAGTCAAAGTCAGGTCTTGATCACCGGAAACCTCACATTCTCTTCTGCAACACAAACATCAGAGGAATAGGAGGTTACGGGGATGGAGAATATTTGAAGGAATCAGACCTGAAATAAAAGGCTCACATCTGAACCTATCATGATGAAGTAGATTTGTTTGGCACAAAAAAATTCTCATATCTCAGCACAGAGGGCTGTCTCTTTAGAGCCTGCAGAAATAAAGAAGAGGAATACTGTCTACCTTGGTTAAGAATAAAATCAGAAAAGGGCCTCCTCAAGCACTCCAGTTTAAAACTGGGCTAAGCCTCATCTTGTTTCTTCCCTCCACCAGTAGCAGCCATTTGGCGGCGCATCTTCCTCAGACCACATGCTGCATTAGATTCTCTACCCAGATCACTGCATGTGAACTGTGGAAATTATCCTCTTCACAGCAGCTACCTGGGAAATACCAGAGAGAACCACAGCAGAGCATTTCAGGAGCAACAGCAGGCATTGCTATATGTGCTACCGTACATGCCTGATTAACACACTGCTCAGACATACTTGGCACAGCTGCCAAGGAGGCATCTGCCTGCCTTTCAAAAAGGAGCTTCAGAGGAGAGCATTCCCTGGCACTTCAGGCCCGCTCTGATGAAAGAGAAACTTGTGTCTATTTGAATTTCCGAGCACTGCCTTCTCTTCACCCTATTTCACCTTCTTTATGTAGGCACTGTTGTGATTTTAATTCTAGCTCAGTGCTGCTAAATATATCTGCAGAAACCTGGGAATTTTTATTCATGTGGAAAGCTTCTAATACCTTGTGAATCAGTGACTCCCATAACCTCAACCACTTCTGCATTGGACTGGTTGGCCCAGCTCCTTCCTAAGGACAGCAGCTGATGAGCAAAGAAGGGCAGTGGAGTAATTTCAAGGCAGAAATCATCAGGGCTTCACACACATACACACACACACACACACACACACACACACACACACGCACGCACTTCAAAGAATACCTTATTTTAAAAATATGTTGTTACATAATTTTCTCTTTAAAAGTCGTCACATTCAAATATGGTGATGCTCAAACTAAGAAAGATACTGATTGGGAGGACAAAAATGTATCTGCTTAGTAAGCAAAGGCTAGATACATGGACCTTAAAATATATGATGTGCCATTCGCATATGTCATCAAGCTATCTCTCTCTCTAAATTAACAAGAAATGTTCTTCTCTCCTGTACAGTACAGTTAACTAAGACATCTTAGCAGAACTGACATTAACAGATACAGTCTTTGGGACACTTTTGGGAACATACCGTGCAAGCTTCTATTAAATATAGTGCTCAAAATGAAACACAAAAGATCAGCATGACACTTGTCAAAGTCTGATGTCATTAAACATATCCGAACAGCAAAACAAAACCTATGGAAGGCTACAATCACTATGGGACTTTAATAGCTAGCGCTAAAAGAAGGCAGAAATCTCTCATCTTCTAGATTTTGGAATAAAACTTAGTTCAGTGAAGTTCCTCTGACACCTCCCTCCTCAAAGAGATTATAAATCAAATTCTGTATTTTGGAACCACTCCATTAAGAGAAACACAAAGACACGTTCTTTGGGAAACCAAAAACGTACCTAGCTTAATTTCTACATTAAAAAGGATGCCCCTTCTGTCAAAAGTTGTTATGCATAAACACTGCCATTCAGCAATAATCTGTAACACAGATTATGAGTTTCAAGTGCAACACTGTTATGGGTTTTCTCATGTATTTTCCTTCTGTTCCATGGCAATACAGATGTAATAACAATGACAGCTGCATCTCTCTGCATGGCTGTGAACCAGCACCCACATCACTTCAGGTACTCCCTTTAACCTGAGTCAAACAAAATTTACTTGGTCTCTATGTTTCAGTGAGATGACAGTCATTCATATGTGAAAGGCAAGTAATTTTCTGCTCCACAGTTTTATTTCCCTCATTGTTCTCTCCAGAATATTCTGCTACATTACAGTTTCTCATAAATGTGCTTCTGCCTCTGAATTGCCTCCTGCTTTGAGGGAGCCGGTGTTCACTTTTCTTTGAGATGCATTTATCCAACTCCAGCAATCCCTCTGTTACCACTCAGCTGTCTCTATTCTAGGGTAGCGTGTCATTTTTCCTCCTCTGCCCTTTGCAGATCTGCATTTAACGCCTTTTTCTTTTCTTTCCAAAGAGGTCTCCAGGCTATCCCTGCAGCTGGGAGCAGAGGAGCTGTGAGGATTATCCAACTCTTTCCTGAGAGCCAACCAATGACTGTCATTAGGGAGATGCTGCTATCCAGGTTGGTAGACCATAGCCTACGCAGCTCTGAGTGAAAGTGTCATTATCTGCAATGAGGAAATTTCAAACAGCTGCATAGTGTGGGTTAAGACCATAATATAGAAATACTGCTACAAATGTAGTCCTGCTTGCCACAAAATGGCTTCATTCAACCCTGCTGTATGCATGGTGTGGATTACTGAGATGTAGATGGACACCCAGGAACCAATCTCCTTTGTAACACTGGACTGACTGATAGTTAAATTCCAGCTAGGAGCAACAGTGTACAAGTAGAAGGCACCTAATTTAACAATTGCAAAGCCTCCAATTTGCTACCCACCTGACAGACAGAAACACAGAAGGACACTTCAACTGACGTACTAGGATAAGAATGAAGCCAGGGGTTTTGAGTCTTACCTTTGTTCATCCATGTGTGAGCAGTACAGTGACGCTCGTCGTGTGAGAATGAACTGATTCCGTGTAATTGCTGAAGCATTGCCCGTCTGGAAATGTAACCTACTGCCACAAAATCGTGTGCATTGCAAAAGGACAAGAACAATTGAGCCAGTCGTCATCATGACATTCCTATGAAAGCAGCCCTGAGCAGTGACTGAACTAGCTCTTTCCTTGCGTGACAGAGCGGTCCTGCTGCAGCACACTGGTGTCTGGCAGAAGATGTGATTGAGGGCCTAGGGGGTTTCAGGGAACTTAAAAGACCATCTGAGTAAATGATCCTGTATGTTTCATCTGCCACAATTGTAGAGCACTTGCAAGGATTTTTTTAATTGCCATTTGTTTAGTGGGAATAGTACTGGAATTTCTGAAATTTCCCATGGAATTAAAAGAAAAAAAGAGAGGGGATACTAACAACATTTATGCCACTGATGTGTGCTCTTCAGGGGAATGCTCTAACTTCTTCACTCTCAGCTGCAGCCAAAGCTTTGTAAGGGGAGCACATCCTCACACATCAGCATGTCCACGAAATTGTCTTCATGACTATTTCAAATTAACAGGGTGAGGACTAACACAGAAACACAAAGTCAATTTCTTTTTGGAGTCAGGAATCATGAAAACAAAAGCATCCTTTGTTGTGAGGAGTGAAAGAAAACTACCAGTGACAAAGATCAATACTGTCACTGTAAATGCTTACATTCATTACTGGAGAGTTCTGCATTCTGTCAGGGTCTATGATTCCACTTATAGGTTCTTTCCTGATGTAATTAACGCTCTTAGTAACTAATTTCCTTGTACAGCCTATTCAAAAAAAAAAACAAACTTTTTTTTTATATATGGAAATCAATATATTCTGGAAACAAATCTCCTCATTTGGAGATCTTGAAAAGTTTATGTTTCAAACACTAGATTTAACAGAAGATAATGAAAACATTAAACCATTTGATAGTTTATGGATTACTACCTTAACAGCTTTAGAGAAATGTCACTTTTAAAATTACTGAGTCAGGAAAGCATGCAAAGCCCTGAATGTCAGCTAAACATACAGTAAAGGAATTAGATTTCAAACATGAATTTGCACACGGTAACATCATACAGACAGAGACTGAACCACATTACAGACAGCAGCGCTTCAGCAACACAGAGGAGAAAGGGACAGGAGGTAATGCTGCGGGGCTTTCACACGCTTAAGAACACTGCACAGTTACTTGGCTAACAACACCTTCAAACACATTTTAATAGCATCACTCTCAAGCTGCATTCCACATTAAAGCAATTCACTAGAAAACAGCAGAAGTTATCTTAGGCACAAACAATGCAACAATCTAGGCTCTTATTGTGAATCGTTTTCTACCGGATCAGTTCAAATAGGCTGCCCTATAACCATGTCAAAAAGCACGTGAATATATTGCAGAGTATTCAGACCAGGGCAAGTGGCTTTGCTTAAATAAAGCTCACACCTGAGGGATGCTTCACTGCATCCTCCCACCATCAAAAAAGTTCTGAAATGTAGTACAATCCTGAAGTTGCTGCAGTAATAACAAGGTAACTTGAGTGTGTGGTTTCAACTGATTCAGGACTGATGTAAACAACATCAAATAAAGGCCTGAAAGGGAAAACAGATTCAAGTCACTAGATTTGGAACTTCACTTTGATACTTTCAGGACACAGAACAATTCAGGCTTAAGTTTTAGTTCTACACGTTTTAAAAAACTGGGGGGGAGCTGTTAGAGCAAAAGTGTTTTCCAAATTGAAGATGAAGTAAGAATAAGCATTGTGATGGAAAGACAGAAATGCTGGAGATCTCAACAGTAAATAATGCCTATCAAGATTTCATATTTGATTACATGAATGACTTCCCTTTACTTACACAAGCAGACAGTCGTCCTATTCAGAACACTAAGAGCTCAATTTGAATTTAGATTATAAGTTTGACTGTATCTTTTAATCAAAGAACATGATATTCCCTATAACTTAACACCCAGTCTAGAATATCCCTTCTGCAGAAGCATCTCTTGATAACATTGATAGTCTGGGAAGAAAGAATACGTTCTACAACTTTCATATGTAGAAGTACCCAGGAATCAGAAGACAAAAAGTGCAGCAGAAGAAAAATCTTATGTTCCTTCAATAAAGGAGTCAAAACAGTATTAATGAAACTCCCAATATCTTTTTTTGCTCCCTGCTTATGCAACTGAAGTGTAGTTAGAAAAACTTTGTTTATAAAAAAAAAATGTTGGAATAGCTATTATAATGTAAGAAGTCTAGAATATTTGAATGAACATTCTTCCCTTGTTGTCCACATATAACAGCTCCACACCTACTCCATTCAGTCATATTTAGTGTAAAACCCACCCTCCAAATTCAACGTGATCTCGGTACAGCACAAGATCAGCTTAATTTGGAATCAAATAATCCTCTAAATCAAAACTGACTGGATATTCAGAGAGTTTAAGAAAAACAAAACCTTCTTACACTTGGTAGTTACAAAAATAAGAAAAATTTGCAGATTCCTATAAGAAAACAAGTAAACCCTAGTAGTACCTCACAGAAAATGTCCTCCCAGGAAAAAAAACCAAAACAAACACGAACTCAATCTAGTCCAGCAGAGTTGGAATGTGGGCAACAGTCTCACATCTATATGCAGACAAGGCTCTCTTTTCCTAGACCTTTCCTGGCCATGAGACATTCTTTAATGAGGCAGCTCAGTTTCCAGATAACCATTCCTCAGTGCTTTGTCCAGAGACATACAGAAAGCTCACTGTGACCAGGATTTAAACACCACTGAAAGCTCTTGAGGTTAGATCTGATGATTAAGATGACAACCCCAGTGACTTTCTGCAGCCTAGTGATTGCAGTGCTTGGCAAAAAGCTAGAGGAACAAATGAGCCTAAGAGAAATGGCTGCATCCATGCCTTCTGCATCTGTGGTCACTAGGTATCATGAGCATTCTTCACATTCCCCCGGAAGACAAGACACTTTTAGGCATGAAGCAGGGCTTTAATTCAGTCTAATGGTTACAGCGCTCAGCCAGAAAGATGATCCTAAGGCTTCTGTCCCTTCTCGTCTTTTTGTTTGTAATGAGCCTAGTGAAAAATATAAATCTGTTAAAGAAAGCTACACTTAAACACCATTGGTAGTGTCTAGAAACTAGGCTACCTCATGCCCTAATGATCTACTTCTTATTCATGTCCTTGGAAGTTCTTATGCAGACCTCTTGGCCAAGTGGCATGCCCCATTCATTTAGTTAGGACATCCAGTCTCAGAAGAACCATCTCTCAGACTGAATCCTGGAAAGATGATTTGCACTAGGTGGGCTGAATTGCTCCATTACTCCCAAATTCTGTTGTCACTGTTTTTAATGTTTTGGCATCACAGGCAGAGAGAGTTTTGCCCACTGCTCACCCTTAAAAATCTTCCAACATTTGCTTTCTAAGAGGAAGCAAAGTAAAAATCCTCTCTTTCCTTATCTATGGTAGAAAGCAAGCACACACTATCATCTCCACCATAAATGAAAATAATTTTTGAATAAAACTTTCTGTAGCAAAGAACAGACTTTATGGATAATGAACAAGTCCCGCATGCAACCTTCTTATCTGTTTCTCTGCACTTGAAATAGGACAAACATGAATTAAACAGAGTTGGTGACAAACTCAGTAACTAGTGGAGTCTATGGCACCCAGAGTATCTCTAAGTCACTTCCTATTATACTACTTGTATTGTTACTAGATACAGTTATACAAAGTAACTTCAAATGCTAACAGAATTGAAATGATTCACAAGCAGAACAAGCACCATAATTCCTTCACCGATAAAAAAAATCTCCAGTCAATTGCTTTTCAACCTGCTGTGAAAGCTTACCTTTGAAAAAACCATGGCCCTTAGGGGCTTCATGAAGAATGGTTCCATGACAGCTGTATCACGCCCCGTGGACCAGGTAAGTATCTACTTGGATGTTAAGGAAGTTCACCAGAAGTCATCCACTCTCCAATATCATGAGCAATGACAAAGAGTATGCAGTGGAGAGCATGAGTTGTTCTAAATACTGGCCAGAGGTGCACTAACCTCCTCAGAGGATCTATTCCTGCAGTTAACTATCCTTGGGATCAAAATGAATCACCTACAGTCCCTGCAAAGCTGTGCACCTGTCGTTGTAATTCATGTCCATTACACTCTGCCTTTCTCTCATCAGATACAAACAATAGTTTATTCCTTTTCTCTGTGCATTCCCCTGTCACCTATCTAAATCAATTTACGCTGCGTATTCAACACTTCTCTAGATCACACAGCCTGGTTGTTTCTCTCTTTCCTTCAAAGCCCAGAAACCATGACCATTAAGACTGCAGTTACTGCTTTCTAGGCTCTCATCAGTTAGCTCACATTCACACGTGGGCTTCAGACCCAAGAAAATAAGAGGCTGTTGATAAAAAACAGAGAATCTCCCTCTTCTCACTGCTCCCCACCTGGGAAGAAAACCAAATGGTCCCATTTACTCAATCACCCAGAAAATCCAGCGTGATATGCACAGAGGACTTTCACAGACAGTGTAATAGTATAACTATAAGTGACAAGAGAACTGTCAACAATTTGATAGGAGTTACGTGGGAAAGATGCAGTATACATCAGTGGAGCTCATTTCCTCAAGTTGTGGACTTCGTATAAAATAACCACTTATTTCCAAGACTGACTACTTCTTACCAGACTTACAAGAGCAAATGTCAGCAGTTCTCTGTGTTTTCACATGTATTCACAAGCAAATACTGATTCAGGCATGGACAGATCCTAAGAGGTCAGAAGCTTTGTTATAGAAACAGACCAATATAATAGGCCAACATATATGCACAGAAAAACACTGTAGAATTTGCTGAACCTAAAACCAACAAAACAGCAACAAAATTAAAAATATATTTAGCACCCTAAAAGCCTAAAATCTAAGCCAAATTCCAGCAGGAAAAAATCCACTAACCTCTGCCACACTGTACACAAAACTTCTTATGGTAATCCTCAAATACCTTTGAATAGTAAAAGAAAGTAAAGTATGTAGTATAGAAGTACTATCCATTTCTAAGGCAAATTGGACAAAATCAGGCAAGAGACAAAAGAGCTTATTCCCAGAATCGTTTTAGTCATTTTATATGCAAATACTAAAGAAATACTTCAGGTCTAAGAGTATATTAGATCCATTACAATGAAAATTGTATTGTACTTGCCACAGAATATTTGATAAGGTTATTAGAGATAATAGTTAAATATTCTTCAATGGTTTGTTTCTGCTAGCTCTCACTGACATCTCAAGTACTTTATGTCAAATTTTAACTATGTATAATCAAAAGAGTTATCCAATACTGAAACAGAGTTATTTTAAAGAAATATAAAGCAAATTCACAGTCTGCTCCTAGCATTCCAAGAGAATTAAAATGCACATGAAATCCTTCTAAAGTTTTTTGTTTGGAGGTAAGTTTGCAGCACTAAGATGTGGATACTCTTCCCCATCGAGGGTGATGAAACTGGCTAGATAAAGACTGCATAGTTGGGAAAAATAATTCAGATGGAAAGATAGTTTTATATCACTTATGGTTGGAGAAAATAGTTTTCCAAATACAACACTTCTAAACAAAAACTCCACTCTGTCTCTACTTCATTCCTAAGATGAATGGTACATTACATTTAGACATGCACAGAATGCTCTGGTTTCTGTATGAATGCAGGTAATGATGGGGAAAAAAAAATAAGTCTGCCAGCACGTGCTCTTGAGGGAAACTAACAAGAATCTTTCGGAGACAGCAAACTGGTTTTGAAAAGAAAAACATTTGAAAAAAGCAGTAACTGAGAAATTCCAAATCTGAAACACTAGTTATTTTCATTTTATTAAAGCAAATAGGACTATATGGCAGCACGTGCACACATTCAGTCAGCTATACAAGGATAACCACACTAAATTTCCTCACACAACAGTTTTACTTTTATTCTTTAACTTCATTGTTTTCTTTCATCTAAAATTACAACACAAAATTAATTGAAATAGAGGTTTAATTTTTTCTACGTGAACAAGAACAGATATCTGGGGCCTGCTCACCTACACTGTAATTCATAATCAGTACTTCTGCTGTTCTAGATGGAAAAGTTTTAATCACTTTAATGACTACGTAGTACTAGTTCTTGGTCTGAGATGATCAGGGATGAATCTGTGCAACTGAACAGAAGGCAAGCCATGGAGGGGTACAGATTTGCAGTCAAAAAAGGGAGCTAGTTGGAGCCCAGAGCTGAAACAGACCGAGGCATCTAATAGAAATGAAGTCAGAAAAACGTAGTGTGTGAAGGCTGGTTGAAAATACAGTTGACGAAAACACCGAACATATAGTTCCAATTGTACCAAAAGCTCAGATTTAAATGAGCAGGTTTTGAAAACCAAAGTGAAAAGAGTGATTTATTTTTTCTAACAGATATCTTATGGTTAGTCATGAAAATGTATTTAATTTTTTTTTTTAGCTAATCAATTAAGAAGGGATTTTAAGACCAGTAACTGGAAGAATTGTTAAGAAATATCCAATTGTCATCAATGCTTCAGAAACAGGCACTCAGCTTAAGAAAAAAATTTACCCATACACAAAAGATTTTCTTTTTACATATGAAAAGTTCTCAGTGCTTCTGAGATTGCAAAATCTCAGATCTCTAATCAAAACTCTAATCAGATTGAAGAATAATATCCTAATTTGAAATACTACTTTCGTGGTGAGGACACAAAATACACATCTTAGTCACAAAATGAGAATATGAAAAATAACTTATTGTGAATTGTTTATTGCAGCATATACTGCTAAGTAGCCCTACCAGAGCTTTTGATCAAAGCCAGTTCCACCTTTGGAAGAGAATTTTTATTCTCAGTATAATATTTCTCAAATCTTTTAACTTCTCATCTTCTTCCTCCTTCACCCTCCTCCTAACTTCTAACCCGAGAATCCTTCAAGCATCACTTTCTATCACGCTATTCAATATAAAAACCTTCAGGAATAAAGCAAATCACCTGCCAAAATAGCAAGTCTAGAATCTAAGATTCATAAAGAAAGCTGAATGTCAGTCACTCCAGGCAGAATAGTCAGCAGAGCTAGAATTTGGAAGACTGATAGCATAGGCATTTAGGAAAAAAAAAAAAGTTTACATAAGTTGAACATACAGACATATGGATTCTTTTTCTAAAGAGAATATGTACATTAGAAAATTATTTTAATTTGTAAACCTCCTGAAAGGTAACTTGACTGCATGCCTGTACATACAAACCACACATCCAAGAAAAACTCAAACCACAGTCTATCATGTTACATGCTAATATAAATTACTCTAAAGATTCTGCTTAGCCCTTTCTTGCAGCAGGAAAAACTATAGCACAGGCATTTCACTAACCTCACTGAGAACTGTAATACTATTTCACTGACATCACTGATAAGTTTAAATAGAATTTTTTTTTTTTTTTTTTTTAAAGTCACTTACAATTAATTTACTTTATGTCCCTGAAAGGAAGTCGGATGACTTTCTAGAATGAGGTATTCTGTCATATTACACTTGATAGGTATTATAATTACTGATAAAAAATAGAAACTGAATCTTCAGTGATAGTAAAAAGCATCAACATGCAATCAAAAGTATCAGTGTATTGCAAAATTGTTGAAAGCATTTCATAAAACAGTATGCTTAGCACACTTCTAGTAATGCCAGTTTTCTTACTAAACAGAATGTGAATGGTGCAGCAGCCAATGGACCACTTCAAAAGGATGTGACTTGCTGTTACTGGGAGGGAAAGGTTTAGTGGAACCTTTGGGGGATTGTAGGTTCCCTCTTCTGCCTGCCAGTGGCCCTACTGTTGGAAGACGTAGGGGAGAAGGAAAAGTAGAAGCAGAAAAGAATTCAGTGGTGTCATGACCAATTTATTTAGTAGTGTTGATACTGCAGCAATATCTGCATATAAGAATTGCAGAAAAGTTCAGTACTACATAGGATGAAGAAAAACACAAAGAAATTGAAATTATTTGTGGCAGTGATGTATTTTCCACGATGAGTTATAATGCGACAACAGTACTTACCATATTTGTGTAGTGCATAAAGTAAAATAGATGAGAGCTATGATAATCAATAACTAACAGGGAGGAAAAAGTGCTGACTGCAAAAATGAAAACTGCCTTTAAGCACAGGAATTTTTAAACACCTCAGAGCTCTATAAATCTGCTTTAGTACAATGCTCTACAAACAGTCATTAATCAATCCAAGTTCAAACTGAAATGTATAGGTTTACTATGTATTTTCAATTACTTCTTATAACTAATTGCTCAAAGATTGCACTTTATCTTATTTTATATGACGCCTACAACATAATTAGACATATGGGCTCACCAGCCTATGGCTTCATCTTTGGTGACTCCAAAGTACTGTAACATCCTCTTAGAGGCCAGGTCTACACTACAGATGCCAATGTCTGCGACTGCCATGCATGGGAAGATTTAAAATACCTTTGCCAACCAGGTAAAATTTGAGCCCAGTATTTTCTTCGGCATTGTTTCAAAGTATAATTTTGTTATAATTACAAGAAGCTCATTGAGATAGTGTTTAGGTATGTGAAATCAGTCTAGTTCTACTCACAATCTAAGACAATGACTGCATGATCCCTCAAGAAACAGCACTTTCTGTTAAAATGTCACTATTGTCAAGTTTTTGTCCCTTTTCCTCTGCAAAACATTACTATTCATCTAGTAAAAATAGATCATGTGGGCACTTGTCTGCTTTAGTGAAAAGACATTTGGACAGTGAAAAACCAAGATAGAAAGCTATTTAAGCTTTATTTAAAAGCTCTATATTTAAGCTAAAGTACTTATGTAGAAAAGGACAGCACAAAATGCTCCATATTTCACCTGTATCTGTTTTGGTGGGACAGCCTCTGGCAATGGGAGATAATTTCTGCTACAGACCTAACGACACAGCTGGAAGAGGGTAACAGTCAGTGAACACAATTGTTTTCCAGAGGCCATCTGACCATGCTTTACTCTATGTCTTGTGGATCAATGTAGGTAAATGGTATCCTTATATCAAACTCAAGGAGATGCTAGAGGGCATCAAGACAGTCTATGGGACAGCAGCTCTGTTTCAGTCAAGAACATAATCTTGGAACTCTCTATGTTAAATGAGGATGTTTTTTACTGGGTCTTGCACATGTAGATTCTGTTTTGTGATCCCCCACAGTTATAAGAAGGCAAAATAGAAAACTATTTTTCAACTTCTGTTGTCATAAAGAAAATGGAAAAAATTCTAGCAACTTGCAGCGAGCAACAAAGGTATTTGCAACAACTTGCTTTTAAAGTTAGACACACTAAGTGATTTAATATCCCTTATTCTATCTCCTTTAATAATAATCAAAACTGGGGAGTACTGGTTCCAGTTATAAAGAATGCCATTCTGTTTTACAGACACCAAAGTAAAATCAGCTTACTCTAAGTTTTAAGCACAATGCATTGCTGTAACTGGTCCACTGAGTCTCTGCACTCAGGCAGTTCATGATTTGCAGACTGTTTTTTCAAATATTAAAGCTAGAATTTTGTTATATAAATGGATCAGATCATGGGCTATAATTTTACAGTAAACAGTGGCTAGGAATTGTGCAATTTTATACAGTCTTTATTATCAATAAATAAATAAATATGTGCAAAGCCTGAACTCACTCAGTTTCAGAGTTGATAAGTAGCAGCAATGAGGGTTTGAAACTTCACAATAACTCTACGTAGGCTGCTGTGAACGACTGCTTTCTTATAGCAAAGCACTGGACCCATACAGGTGAGGGGACAACTATAAAGGCTCACTGAGGTTCAGCATACCAAATCCCTAGGCAGCACAGAGCTCAAGAGCAGGGCTGGTTAGTAACAACAGTAACACACAGGGGTTGTTCTAATTCTAAACAGTCAGATGAAGGCAGCAGTTCTGGGCAGTGACTTGGACAAGGATCACGCTAAATTTACTTTCACACCTGGTGAGAAATTCACAGATAGCCAGCACAACAGCAACTGCCACCCACCTTCTGTGGTGACTGGGAGGGAAATCTCCATGCAGGCTGCAGACTGTGCTTTTCTAAAGGGGGGCCTCCCGGGCCCTCGGCGGTTTGCTTTTGAGACGTCCGCGCTGGAAAGTCGTTTTCCTGAACTGCAGCTCTGGGATGTTGGGCTTGTACAGTGACCATTCACGTGATCTGGAAAGCGAACGCAAAACGTGCTAGGTAAAGCGTCAGGTCCCAAAATTCAGAATGGAGGAGATGTAAGTTCTGGTATTTGAGAATGAGTTAAATGAAATCTGTTGAGGATGACTATTTGTTTTATCAATCCAGAGCACAGATGTAAGAACAAGTCACTACGTCTTTAAGGTATATTTTGAAATAAAGTGAGGGACGTACAACTGGTACACGTTCTTATAGCTGCAGCTCCCACGGAGTTTTGACGACCTGTGAGCACAGGCAGTTTATCCAGATATGGCTGATAACACTATCCTCAATGTTGTATCTCCTAATACAGACCAAATAAATTTGAAAACTGTCTTTCCTTTTTGCTCTCACAAAGAACTGAAAGATAGACCTACACAAATTGCCCACCTGACTGGAAGCTGCAATGAAACAGGTATCTACCTGCCACTATTTGTGATAATTATGGAATTAGCTGTAATAATGCTAAGTTATTCTTTATATCCCATGTAGATTTATCTTACTGCTCGAGGAAACTGACTGCTGAAAGACGTGTTTATCTGCTACAGATCTAAAGATGTGAGTCTGAGACCCTGGAAACCTGCTGGAGGCCATGGTCAATCAGTACGTTGCCATCTGTTGGGGACAAGAAAAAACATGGATGCTTGAAATGCTTCCCTATGTTCATCTGTTCTTCATCACTAACAACAGGTCTTTGAAACAGAGCAATCCACTAAGCAGGGCTCACATCATGGGGTAGAGCAGTTTGGATGGGATCAATGGACTTCAACATACTCATGATACTTTTCTTCCACTCATGTTGACTAGAGCAAGATGAGGTGAAGAATTACTGAAAGCAATTTTCTCCTCAGTATATGAAAGGATACTTACAAATTTGATTAAACAGCAGGTCATGAACATAACAAATTCAGATTTATGCAAGCACACCTTACATTCAAAACAATGGAAGCTCAATAATACAGGTAAGGACAAGCTTGAAGTTTCTGCCTCCCTCTTAAATGTCAGATTATTTATATCTCAGAACCACTCTTTCAGATTCAGTATATTAGTATATTCAGTACATCATCATTCTCATCAGTTGTATTGCATTCAAGAAAAAGATGAATTTTAATACACCAAGATAAATTTATTTCTTTGTTCCCATGCCATGATAACTCACAATGAAAAGCTGTCTCAACGTTCAGACAATAAAACAGATTCTATACTGAATATAGCATATGGTGTGCTATTACGTACAAGTTCTAACGTGCAAATCATGTCCTTTATATGTGAAAGCATTTTGGGCTTGATGAACAAAACAGGAAAGAATTGTTCAGAATTACATTTTGGAAAGTAATTTAGTATCTATTCTGAGACTGAGTATATATAATGAAAGGGCTCTGTAGGAGACAACTTCCACGATTCCTATCATGTTTCTTAATACATAGCTATTAACCGAGCTAGCAGCACATATCAAATTGACGTGGATAATTCATTCAACTTTCAGTTAGGGAATTTTCCAAAATATACTGGAGCTATTCATATATTTCAGTAGAAAGTCCTCTGAGACCGGGGCTTTGTTCAAGGGCACAGGCTGACTGTTCAACCTCAGCAACAGATACATTCTCATCCTGCTGCTTCCTTTCTTCAAAATTCAGTTTTTTCTTCAAAATTCAGTGTGAAAGAGTTTCAGCATGATATCTAATTATCTCCAGGGGGATCAGAGGAAGCAGTGAGGAACGCAACACAGCAAAAAAGAATCATATTCTATAGAAACATCAACAACATTTGTGAGTTCCTTTTCCTGAACGCTGTACTGAATAGGCACAATTCATCTGTTCCCCTATTCACCATGTCAAATTTTGAGAGAAATTCTGCTGCTTTTCTTGGTACGCTCGCTTATATCAATTTACCTTCACAGGCCAGTTAAACAAAAAAAGCAATAGGGTCTGGGCAAACAAAATCTTTTTGGTTGTCTTTCTGAATAAGAAAAGTCAGTTTCTGTCAGAGAACAGATCAGCTGCATGCTTCAAGTACTGAAGTTGGTGAAATGTTAGTGAATGCCACAACAATGAGCAGAAGAGGGAGGCCAGTGATCAGAGGCACACTTTTTTGTATTTTAACAGTTTTGTTTTTCTGATTATATATTATTTTTCATATGTACATAACAAGGAGCAATACAACTCTGCAAATCTTAGTAAAAGAACCAAGACATTGAATAAAGTAATATAGATCTGTTGAGAAGCCGAGGAGAATCAAGCAGATAAAGATCACTCAGAATTCTGTCTGTGCATTCTTATGATGGTAAAAACTTTATGAAATAAAGCATTTGTGAATAAAAGTTATGTACTATTTGAGAAAAGATTCCTTACCATATGGTCGGGAAAAAAAAAAAACAAAAACGAGAAATGAGAAGAAAAACAACAGAAATTTCCTATAGGGAACCTAGTAAGAGTGACTGTGAAGTTGCCTTTGCCAAAATAACTGCAATGATTTCCTAGACCTTTGAGACCAGAACAACCTTTGCCAGACATCTTCCTATCACCCAAAAGAACAGAAAGAGGCTGCTTGTAAAGACCTGGCATTTTTCCAGCTTTGCTTGATGTGTAAGAAAAAAAAAAAAACATTGCAACTTTTTATATGCTGACTTACGCTTCTGTCATCTGCTCACTCTGTCTTTTCTCCTATCAGACATATTGATACTGGGCACCAGTTAATGTTGGAGGTATTGAAATGCAGATTGAAAAAGTGGTAAAGGGATCACTCTGTGCTTTTAATGCGATAGTGCAACAACTCTTAAATCTCTCTTATTCTGTAGAAGGCATAGAATAGTTGCCTGTTAAGAAAGCAGTGCCCCCAAAGCTCTCTTCTTTCCTCTACCCTTTTCCACAACTGCATTTGCTATCTCTTCGGGCAGCATTGTCGTGTCCATACATGAACCAAGTCGAGATTTCACTGAATGTGAGCATATCTCGTGAGATCAAAGGAATTTGGATTACACTATCTAGTGCTCCTGGATTCCAAGATTACGTACTGGAGTTAGCAATGTGCTACACCTGGGCATTGTGCTTGAAGCAGTCTCTGTGCTGTGTAACAGCAATTCCACTCTTCCTTTTCTCCTGTTTGTGTTCAATGAACTAAAAAGCCAGCACTCAGGAAAAACTATTCTGTTCCTTCATTTAAACAAGTAAGGCTCATGCAAACCACTGAATTAATTACATATTATCCTACACAACAACGCATTAGTTACTGTGAACTTGAACTACTGAGAGATGCAATATGTAACATGACAGAGCAAACTTGCTGAACAGCCTCAGATTTAATCTGATTCTTCTGAAGAGTATTACACAAACCAGGAATGTATCATATATACAAGAATGTGTGAATTTTGGTTGTAACACATATGTTAGGTTGTAACACACATACCCTACACAACCTGACTTGTCATACAACTAGTTTTAAGTACTTGGAGACTGCTGCAAAAAAGAAAAGGGACCAGCAAACTACCAAAGAATAGCTGAATAAAAAGAAACAAATCCATTTGTTAAAACCAAACGTACTAAAAATGTAAGAAAGAAGAAATGCATATTTGTACGTGTTGTCTTGAAAGTTGTGTTACACTGGACTTGACAAAAACAAAAAATGCTAAAAAAAAAAAAGATCATTGCTTCTCAGTTCTAACAAAGGGATGAATTCACACAGAAAAGCTATCTGAAAAACAGTCCTTACTAATGATTTGAGGGAGGTTCCAACTTCCTATGTTGAAAGGAAGAAATAAGAGAACAGGCAAGAGGAGCAGAGAGAGCTGCTTTAATAGAGAGCAGAAAGAACTTGAACAGTAAGAAAGTCCCAGAGCATGTCCTCATTGAGTCAATCTATGCTGTTAAATGGAAGATAAATCCATTTCTTTCTACTCGGCAGTTTTGTGTTATCAACAAATGAGATATTAGGTAATGACTATGTGTGACTACCAGCTTTTATTGTTATACAGCAAAGAGATACACCCTTAGCACGTGAAAGAAGGGAAGGTGGAGCTCTGTCAGTCAAATGAGAGAGGAGTGGTGAGCCCTAGTAGATGTTGATATAGATGATCTGTCAACAGACATGCCTATTTGCCATTATGCCTTAATTTACATCAGTTGTTACATACTGTTATTATAGTATACTGCTTGTGTAAAACCCTCTCACTGTAATGAACTCCTATCGTGCACTTGGATCCCAGATTTCACTATTTTTTCAGAAAGCAGCAAGAAGAGGATTTATCTTTCAGAGAACAACAGTTTCAGCCATTTCACAATATTTTACATATGCCACTCACAGAGCTTCCTCCACAATGAATATTTTTGCCTGTGGTTATGAACAAGGAAACCAGAATACAAAATGAACAATATCCAAATGAGGAATGCTGAGAATATATTACCGTTTGGCATAACATCACCTACACATTAACTTACCTCAGTAACCAAACCCAGCAATTCAAATCTAAAAATCCTTGAAAACTGTGAAAATTTTGAACTACTTGGATCTAACTCTATTCCTCAGATTCTTCTGCTGAATTTCTAGTGATCACAAAACATTACACTACTGTCTCAAAGAGTATATGGCACTCTGTGTAACTAAGCAATGACATAACAGAAATTGTTATGTTTTGTGCAACAACACAGGAAAACACAGACAGGAAAACTGATTTTATTCTGAAACAATCAAAAAACATTCATCCAGAGTTGCACAGAAGACAACATTGAAACATACAAGTAGAGTGGATGAACCGTGTGACCACCCAGGATACCAACACCTGAGCATCCTCTACTAAGAGCACTGCACCTGCATTTTCAAGACAGAAAAATCCATTTTTAACTCAATTCTCTGTATCGGTTTCTGAAAATGAAATGTTTTCATTTCATTTCTGAAAATGAAATGTTTTCAAAGAAGTAGGGCTGGAAATACTTTTTTTTCAACTTAAACATGATAGGAATAAACTGCAGGCCTTCTAAACAAAACTCCGCATTTCCATT